TGTGGTGTTGGAGAAGACTCTTGAGAGTCCCTTGGACTGCAAGGAGATTCAACCAGTCCATCCTAAAGGAGATCAGTCCTGGGTGTTCATTGGAAGGACTGATGCTGAAGCTGAAACTCCAGTACTTTGGCTACCTGATGCGAAGAGCTGACTCATTTGAAAAGACCCTGATCACCAGCTCAGGTTGGATGCATGAGACAAGTGCTCAGGCCTGGTGCACTGGGAAGACCCAGAGGGATCGGGTAGAGAGGGAGGTGTGGGCGGGAGGGGATCGGGATGGGGAATACATGTAAATCCATGGCTGATTCATGTCAATGTATGACAAAAACCACTACAGTATTGTAAAGTAATTAGCCTCCAACTAATAAAAATAAATGTAAAAATAAGAAAGAAAAGACCCTGATGCTGGGAAAGATTGAGAGCAGGAGGAAGAGGAGATGACAGAGGATGAGGTGGTTGGATGGCATCATCGACTCAATGGACATGAGTTTGGGTGGGCTCCAGGAGTTGGTGTTGGACAGGTAGGCCTGATGTGCTGCAGCTCATGAGGTTGCAAAGTGTCAGACATGACTGGCGACTGAACTGAACTGAACTAAAAGAATAGTGTGTCAAGTTGCTACTAAAAACCAAAGAAGAGGTGCATGGTTTAAAGACTTGTTTTTTGCAGCCACTTGTTCCTCTTGAAACTTCCTGGCAGAGATTCTGAATGAAGACTTTCCTGATAAAGGTGACCCTTAGGGAAGAGAAAAAGAGGGAGAAAAAAATGATTTCTGGTCTATTGATTTTTTTTTTCTGCATTGTCACCATTCTGTTAGCCTTTCTCTCTTTACCTTCCACATTTAAGCAGTTTTGAAGGAAATAAAAATTATATATCAAATGGCTGTGAGTAAATTATAAGAAGGAAAGGAAGACATTTTACTTTACCTTTAGAAGGAAAAAGACATGAAGACAGATTTGATTCACTGACTTTAGGACCAGTTTCTTTGCTGAATATCTTTTTAAAACAGGATCCCTGTCTTGCTCTTGAAATACTTTCGAGAAACGAGCTTTCCAAACTTGAAAAAGCTGGAACATCTCATTCAGGTTTCTATGGCACTGGGGTTGGCTAATCAGAACAGCCTGGATTTATGCAATAACCTTTCTCTTCTACTTTAACTACTGGTTTGCTTAGTCTGCTCTGGTTCCTGTGCTCTCTTACTTAAGGGGTAATGAGGTATGGCCCTTTTATGGCTGTTCTCTTAAGTAATCAGCTTGTTCCTTAGCTCCTATTCTCCACTGAGGGTCTCTCCAGACTGTAACTACTTGTCCATCTTTCAAAAAAAAAAAGGCTATTTGAAGCTTTATAAAAAGATCTGTGATCTTTCTCACTCTTATACTCCTCCTTTCTTATTCTCTCTCATTTTTCATACTCCTCCTTTCTTATTCTCTCTCATTTTTCACAGACAAATATTAGAGAAAGTGTATTAGAGGATTTCTGTACCTTTTCCATATGGTGGCCTTGTAATAAAAATTTATTTTACTTTCTAAGTTTTATTGTTCTGTCTTTTTGGAAAAAAAAATCTGTCTGTAATCCAAGTCACCTTTTGACATAGCAGGATTCTTTCATAATAGATTTATGTCCTTTAGAAAAGAAAGGACCATTTTACCTTATTTCTAGAGAAAAAGACAAAAAAGTCTGATGTAGTTAAAACAAAATCTTGCATTATTGGGAAAAATAGAAACTAGTCAAAGAGATGCTGCACAAATTTGTTTACAACCCCCTTTTTTTTTTTTCAGGCATAGTGTAGCGAGAAGTAGAACTAAAGAATCTGGCACAGAGGCAGCTTTGCTTGTTCTGCAGAAAATTAGCTAGAATCAAATAGAGGCCTGCCTCTTGGTCAAATTCAGAGGATAAATAAATAGCAGCAGTTAATATGTAAATCCTTCCCTCCAGAACTCTGCCCTCCTCACAGTAAGTGATCAGATGGTTTGCCTAATAGTGGCAGATGGACATGTAGCATGCAGGAAGCTGATGCTTCCTGGGTAGTGGTTACCACTGAGCAGCAATCAGCGTTGGAAGTACTCACCTGTGTTTGGTGCATGACATATAGTATCTCATTAAATCATCACAATAATTCTAAGGAATAGATCATTTATTCCCATTTCACCCATGAGGCTCAGAGAGATTAAGTAACTTTTACTCAGGGTCTCATGCCTCGTGTAGAACACAGCCAGCGTTTGAACCCAGCTCTTTCAGACTCTACAGTGGCATCCTCATAACCCTGATGTTGTTCTAAAGAATTACAGTGGTTTCCCATTGCTTACAGAGTAAATTTTATTTAGTATGGTGTTCAGTGCCCCCACAGAGTCTGACTTCTTTCCTCTTCATCTTCACTTCCTGCTCTATCCACTCTCCACACTATGTACTACAACAGTTCCAAAACTCACTATGTATATTCATTCTTGTGCTTTTGTTCTGTTCTCAACCTGAAATGCTTTTCTCGTTATGGAAACCTGACTCATTGTTCAGAGTTCAGATCAAATACCTACTTTTCTGTGAAATCTTCCCCAGTCCTGCCAGTTAGAGTTCTTTTAAGTTCCTCTTCATCATCTTGCTGCACAATTCTATTTATAACATAAATTTCACTCTGGTTATGTATTTTCAACTACATCTCCACATCCCATTAGATGTTTGAATATGTAATTATTTATCTTTGTCTCACAAGTATATATTTGCCTATGCCTATTTCATGTTTTCTCTAGGATGGAGAAGAATTCCTGGGAAATGCATGAGAGGAGAATGAAGGAGCAATACCTTATGGCTATCGCAGATAAAGATCAGCAGCTCAGCCATCTGCAGAACCTTGTGAGGGAATTGAGATCTTCTTCCTCACAGACTGAGACCCACAAAGTGCAGTACCAAAGACAGGTGAGTAATTCCAGCGCTGATTGCTGCTTGGAGGAAATGTTAGCTTCCTGCAAGCTGAGTGCTTATCTGCCACTATTAGGCAAGCCATCTGTGATTATTTCCTGTGAGGTGGGCAGGGTTTCCGGAGGGAAGGATTTAAGTATGCACAATGTTTGGAGAGAGTTTCATCAGTGTTTATATCCTGGCAGGCATCCCCAGAGACATCAGTTTCCCTCAATGGATCACAAAACCTAGTTTATGAGACAGAGCATCTTAGGACTCAGCTCAATGACAGCTTAAAAGAAATTCACCAAAAGGAGTTAAGAATTCAGCAACTGAACAGCAAGGTATGTGTTCCCTGCTAGCCTGAAGTTCAATTTCTTGTTTCCATGACTAAAAGCAAGAAGGTAAGTAGAAGCTGTTTAAGCTTAGGCTCTAGCTCTGTTAGAAGACAGAAGTTTTACCTTTCTCAGAGCCTGGATCCCTCACTTAAAAGCACCAGACACAGGGCCATTTCTTTTTCCTCGCCTTTGCAGAGCCCTTGGGAGTGATTTGGAGAAGCCCATTCAATAAGAATGGTAAAAACCAACTCCTTTAGGAAGGCTTCCTACCCAACATCATCTCCCCATAACTCCTCACAAATCCTCCAGCGAGCTCCCCGGTATTTCTCACTAGTGTGTAGCAGGGAAGAGTCTCAGGAAGGAGGCTTGCATATGCGATTAGACAAAGTGATAGAGGTGAGGGGTCTGCTCTTCATTCTACTCCATTTGTAAGCTTCCTCACTGTCTGTCTAATGTTGTGGAATTAAAGAAGCCAATTTGCTTTTTCCTGAACCCCACGCTGGCTGCTCTAGACACTCTAGGAAGTATGCTGGGAGTAGATGGACCTCTTTCTATAGGAAGAGCTGCTTTGCCATCTGGTCCCTAGAGCAAAGGCCAAGGCAACAAAAAAGAAAATTATTCTCAGTGCCTTCTCATATCTGTCTTCTCCCCTCATCCATTCTTTGGCTTCTCTTCCTTCATCACCTGCTTCCCTTCCCTCACCATCTTATGAATCATTATACTCGTGTTGTCTCTGACTTGTCAGATTATTCTCTGGCAGCACCTCACCTGGTTCTGCCTTCTTCAGAGGAACCCAGCTAGGTAGTTTATGTTAGTGCTAGGAGGAATTTGAGTGACCATTTAGACTCTGGGATCCAAAAATTAGCTTTGAGGAGGACTATCAATATAAATGTCCAAAAATTATACACAAAATGATGTGTTTGTAAGTTTCTCATCACAAAAACTCAGGCATTCACCAAGGGATCTGTGATCCAAAAATGGTAAAGATCAGTAGGCTATACTCAGATTAGGAAATTAAGGCCCAGAGATATTAAGTAATTTGCCCAAAGTGTTAGCAGCAGGTCAGTCTGGGGGTAAATATGGTAATATACATGAAAAATACAGTGCCTGGTTTGTGTAGAAGGCACTCATTAAATGTTGTTAAATTCAACTAACTAACATTGAAGTATCAGAGACTGATAACACTGTTAACTCTGGCAGAGTTAAAAAAAAATTTGCATTTAAAATTTGCATTTTTTCAAGTAGGTTAGTTGGTCACAGTGAATTGGTAAAATTATAGAGCCTTTATTGGGGGTGTTTTCTGGGAGTTTTCAGGGGGTGCTATGGTGGGGAGACTCCAGAGCAGATCCTACCCAGTTCCTCTTTCAGCCTAGTCAGTTGTTTCCACAAAGTTCTGCCCTTCATACCTCTTAACACCTCCTCCTTCTATAAACTAAATCCCATCTCAACCTTGTTATATTTGCTTTCCTGAAGATTAGACTGTGAATCACTCTGGGCATTTGTCTTTCTAGCATGATACTTGAAACTGCAGTGAATAGCAACTGAAACATTTTTCATGTAAATATTTTAGTGGGGTAAAACACCAAAAGGTGCAAAAATCACAAATACAGTCTGGTATATTTTCTTGAAGTAAGGACACCTGTATAAGCAGCACCCAGATCAAGAATCAGAACATCTCCATCCCTAGGGTCGATCATTCACTTATTCATCATTCAGCAAACAATAACTATTATCTACCTTCTGTGAGCCTAGCCATATGCTTGGTATTGAGGATACACAGTGACTCTTCATGGAGTTCACAGTTTGGGGATATTAAAGCTTCCACTATCTGGGTCCCAGCTAACTAGGAGCACTGCTTCTTGGGCTCTAGCATGGGTAGTAGCAGATGGGCTGTCAGCATAGAATGTCTCCTCTCCAAGCCACCACCCTAATTCTTTCCATGGATGCTCAGACTTTGTTTATATCTCTGCCGATTGTGGGGCTTCCCAGGTGGCTCAGTGGTAAAGAATCTCCCTGCCAGTGCAGGATGCAGGAGATGCAGATTCGATCCCTGGATCAGGAAGATCCCCTGGAGGAGGAAATGGCAGCATGCTCCAGTATTCTTGCCTGAAAAATCTCATGGACAGGGAGCCTGGTGGGTTACAGAGTTGTAAAGAGTCAGATATGACTAAGCATGCACACTGCCTGCTCCTAGTGAAACAGTCCTGTGGACTAGTGCTTATCGTCTCTCCTATTTCAGTTCTCTCAACTGCTGGAAGAGAAAAATACCCTTTCTATTCAGCTCTGTGACACCAGTCAGAGTCTCCGTGAGAACCAGCAGCACTACAGTGACCTTTTCAGTCACTGTGCAGTCCTGGAGAAGCAGGTTCAAGAGCTGCAAGCTGTGAGTGAAAAGGTGAGAGGCTGGGGAAAGTGTTGGGAAATTGAGCACGGATGATAAAGCATAAAGCACAGCCTCGAAAAGGTCGATGTCTTCAGGCTGAAGATCAAATAGGTGTGATGGAAACAGTGAGGAGAGGAGTGGAGGAATAAGGTCCAAGAAAAACTGAAGAGTGAATGGATTAGAAGGAAAATGATCAACAGTGAGGTTCAGTTCAGTTCAGTCGCTTAGTTGTGTCCAACTCTTTGCGACCCCATGGACTGCAGCACACCAGGCTTCCCTGTTCATCACCAACTCCCGGAGCTTACTCAAATTCATGTCCATTGAGTGAACTGGTGGGAGAGAAATTAAAAAGTGAGTGGTAAACAGTGATGACTGAGGCTTTTGGAAGGCTTTTTGCTTCAAGTAATAGGAAAGCTGTAGGGAGATTTGGACCTGAGAAACAAAATTGGCAGAGTTGTTGACAGCCGTGGAGAGGGGAGGTTGTTGAAGTCGATGAAGACTGAGAATGAGCGTGGAGGGGAATAGGACATGGCAGGAAGAGGAGAGGGGTGGGAGGAGTGGCTGAATCAGGCAGGGACCAGAGTGGCTTCTGGAAAGTAGATGGGTCTCCACTAGAAGCAAGAGGGAGTCAGTGACCAGCCTTGAAACTTTTGAGAGGAGAGATTCAAGAATGAGAATCTGGAGGAAAGTCTAATGACGAGTTTTATGTAGGAGATTAATCTATTAGAGCAGAAGATTCTTACTTACACATCTGAACTTGAAGAGAGTGATAATAGAGGTATTCCTCTCCAAGATTTCTCTTTTTTCTCCAATGCCTAAGCAAGTTCTCATTTTCTCTGAGCACAATTTCTTGAGTGGTTTCATCACTGAATTACTAAATTTATTCTTCTTCCAGGGGCCACTAAATATAGATGTTGCTCCAGGAGCTCCCCAGGAAAAGAATGGCGGTCACAGGAAAGGTGATGCTGAAGAACTGAGCGAGCCACAGCTAAGGTGGGGGAGCAGCTCTCAACCCTGGAGTGTGCGCTGTGTAGGCAGCACTTGGGTGGTCATCTAGTTAGAACAGGAGTCCATTGTATGGATTTAATGTGTCTTATCTTACTGGCCTCACAGGATTAATGTGAGCATTATAAAGTAACAATTATAATAACAAATTGAGTGTGAGTAGTTTGTAAAACAGACCCTCCCTACACACACACATCTTACTAAGATTATGATATTCAAATGAGAGATATTCAGAAGTCCCTAAAATCTCTGAAGGCATTTCCTGCAGCTTTATTTAATCTTTTGACAGGCATTCTTTTAAAATACTCATTGTGTTTGTACAGCCTTCTATAAATTTCCATGCTTTATAAGCTTAGGAAGACTTCAAATCCCTATATCTGCAACTCTGTCCTGCATCTAGTGATGCTGTTGTTTTCCTTTTGTCGTGAAGCTTTTCCGAGGCCCAGAAACAGCTCTCCAACACTAAACAGGAGATGAACGAATTGAGAAAACTGCTGGAAGAAGAACGAGACCAAAGAGTGGCTGCTGAGGCTGCCCTCGCCACAGCCGAGGAGCAGATCAGGCGGTAAAGGACCGAGGGACACAGCCTGTCTTCATTTCTGACCCTTTCTGATTCTGTGTGTGTGTGTGCTTAGTTGCTCAGTCATGTCCAACTCTCTGTGACCTCATGGACTGCAGCCTACCAGGCTCCTCTGTCCATGGGGATTCTCCAGGCAAGAACGCTGGAGTGGATTGCCATGCGCTCCTCCAGGGAATCTTCCCAACCCAGGGATCAAACCCAGTTCTCCCATATTGCATTTGGATTGTTTACCATCTGAGCCACCAGGGAAGCCCAAGAATACTGGAGTGGGTAGCCTATCCCTTCTTTAGGGGATCTTCCCAAGCCAGGGGTCGAACGAGGTTCTCCTGCATTGCAGGTGGATTCTTTACAGCTGAGCTACCAGAGAAGCCCTTTTTGATTGTACTTGTATGCATTTCATGGCCAGACTTGGGAATAAATAGGATCTAGTTCTCATCCTGCGGAGAAGGCAATGGCACCCCACTCCAGTACGCTTGCCTGGAAATTCCCATGGATGGAGGAGCCTGGTAGGCTGCGGTCCATGGGGTTGTTAAGAGTCGGACACGACTGAGCAACTTCACTTTCACTTTTCACTTTCACACGTTGGAGAAGGAAATGGCAACCCACTCCAGTGTTCTTGCCTGGAGAATCCCAGGGATGGGGGAGCCTGGTGGGCTGCCGTCTATGGGGTCACATGGAGTCGGACACGACTGAAGTGACTTAGCAGCAGCAGCAGCAGTTCTCATCCTGAGATGGGTGCTGTAGCAAGAGTGGGCTCAAGACAAGCCACGGTAATCCAAGCTCAGCCCATCCACAATTCCCTCTTTGGCCCTAATGCAGAATGGATATCGAGGCAGCTAATTGAGTGCTGCCTCCCCAGACCTGGCACTGCTGTTGTCCTGTTAGCACCTGACACATACTCCACAATGCCTATGGAACTCAGTGGACTTGCCATTTAAAAACAGCCCACCAATGCTTACAAACATCTCATCCTTACTCAGCCTAGCCTACAGTGACAGACTGACCTGCATGGTACCAGACCATGCTGTTTGCATCAAGGCTGCCCCTAAAAAGCTTATCTTATGGAGGAACAGACACAGAAGGGGTCCTGTGCAGCCAGTCGGGCTCTCATGAGGAGATGGAGGAGGAGGATGGAGCTAGGCTGGGCACATTGAGTTTCTCTTTCCAGGCTCACAAAGCAGATTAAAGTGTTCCTTCACGCCTGAGAAAAGTGTGGGCCCTATAAAGAGAATGCAGGAGTTTTAGGCTAATCAACATCCCTTCATGTATAGGAAACATCAGGAGTAGAGTTTCAGCCTCCCCACACAATTAAGAAGTGCATCCCTCTAGGCAAATGATTGATCAGCTGTGTGCTGTGTTACTTGCAGCACCTTGATACAATTCTCATGGCATTTTTTTTAATTGAAGTATAATTGCTTTACAGAATTTTGCTGTTTTCTGTCAAACCTCAACATGAATCAGCCATAGGTGTACATATATCCCCTCCCTTTTGAACCTCCCTCCCATCTCCTCCCCATCCCACCCCTCTAGGTTGATAGAGAGCCCCTGTTTGAGTTTCCTGAGCATACAGCAAATTCCCATTGGCTATCATTTTACATATGGTAATGTAAGTTCCATGTTACTCTTTCCATACATCTCCCCCTCTTCTCCCCTCTCCCTTTGTCCATAAGTCTGTTCTCTATGTCTGTTTCTCCATTGTTGCCCTGTAAATAAATTCTTCAGTACCATTTTTCTAGACTCCATATATATGTGTTAGAATATGGTATTTATCTTTCTCTTTCTGACTCACTTCACTCAGTATAATAGGTTCTAGGTATCTACCTCATTAGAACTGACTCAAATGCATTCCTTTTTATGGCTGAGTAATATTCCACTGTGTATATGTACCACAACTTTTTTATCCATTCATCTGTCAATGGACATCTAGGTTGCTTCTGTGTTCTAGCTATTCTAAATAGTGCTGCTGTGAACAATGGGATACATGTTTCTCTTTCAATTTTGGTTTCCTCAGGGTATATGCCTAGGAGTGGGATTGCTGGGTCATATGGTGATTTTATACCTAGTTTTTTAAGGGATCTCCGTACAGTCTTCCATAGTGGCTCTATCAATTTACATTCCCCACCAACAGTGCAAGAGCATTCCCTTTTCTCCACATCTTCTCCAGCATTTGTTTGTTGTAGACTTTTTGATGAGGGCTATTCTGACCAATGTGAGATGATATCTCATTGTAGTTTTGATTTGAATTTCTCTAATAATGAGTGATGTTGAGCATCTTTTCATGTGTTTATTTACCATGTATATGTCTTCTTTGGAGAAACGTCTGTTTAGGTCTTTTTCCCACTTTCTGATTGGGTTGTTTGTTTTTCTGGTATTGAGTTGTATGAGCTGTTTGTATATTTTGGAAATTAATCCTTTGTCACATGTTTCATTTGCTATTTTTTTCTCCCATTCTGAGGGTCAATTCTTGTTTTTGTGAGAAACCGTTGAGTGGATAAAAACAGCTTCTTCATTAAATGGAGAAGTTCTAGTATTAAATAAGTAAGCAAATTAGCAAAAAATGAAACAGAAAGCAATAGAGGCTGCAGTTGAGTTTAATTGTAAAAACCCCACAAAAATCTTTCTTGAATTCTTTTGCATATTAGATTTTAATAAACAGGGAAAAAAATAAAAGAGTTTCTCTGAGCCAGGTGTGGTATAGCAGGATATAAAGAGCATGAGGTTTAGAGACACAGCTGGGTTTTGAATTCTGGCTTTACATTTTACTGGATGTACCATTGTGGACAAGTACTTTTTACTTCTTTAAGTCTTACTTTGAAGATAACACCACCAACCTTAAACCTGAGAATTAAACATATGTAAAACACCTGATCCAGCATCTGATACACAGTAGGCAGTCAATTCTTGGTAATTATTACCATCTCTACTGCTGCTGAAAGAAACCTGTCTACCCTTTCACTCCTTGCATGGGGACGGGGCCATGGGAGCTGCAAGTCCCTTACACTGCATCCCATGGCAAGATGTCCAGGGTGATTTCACCTGATCAGCCTCTCATGCCATGAACCAATGCCTCTTTTTTTTCCTTAATTCAGGTTGGAGCATGGTGAATGGGACTCTGCCCGGTCTCCTATCATTGGCTCCTGCGGCTCCCAGGAGCAGGCGCTGTTAATAGATCTTACAAGCAGCAGTTGTCGGAGGGTAAGAAGAGAGAAGGGTGAAGAAAGGGCACTGTGCTATCAGACGGGCTGGCTGTGTTGAGGGCAAGGGGTCAAGGAGAAGGAACATGGGCCTGAGATTGGAAGGGTATGAAAGGCTGAAGGAAACTATTGGGATGTACCAAGCTGCTGGCCCCAAGGAGTTTTCCTCTCAGGATACCCTTCTCTGCAGTGGTTGGAGAAGGAAACAGGGCAGATCTCTCTAGGGTGAGACTCTGATTTCCACATTTTCTTTTCAGACCCGGAGTGGTGCTGGCTGGAAGCGGGTCCTGCGTTCTCTCTGTCACTCCCGGACAAGGGTACCGCTGTTGGCAGCTGTCTACTTTCTGATGGTTCATGTCCTACTCGTTCTATGTCTCACAGGCCATCTATAAGCCTAGTTCTCACCTTTTGGACCACTCCCCCAAGAACTTGGAACTTCCTCACCTCTAACATCAAAACCATCAATTCCAGTGGTACAGTCTTCCCACTTACAGATCCAATTCTCCACAGAAAGTGCCTGTAAAAACAGAGGTGGATATGAGCACAGGTTAGAGCTGCAGGGGCCAGTGATTCTGCTTTCTTCTATTGCCCAAGGCCTGACACTTCTGCGTTGGTTATTGAGCCCAATATTTGTTCAGGTTTTGCAGGGCCCTGATATTTTATGGTCCTGTGAAAGATGCTGAGGAATGTCTTCCAGCCAGGAGGATGGTTCCAAATAAACCTAATAAACGGAAGTCCAGTATCATTCTGATTGATACTTTCTTTCCCTCGTGTACCTTATAATTTTCTCCCACTTCGGAGGACGTGGACCTACCATAAACATGGCAGGGGGAATGTTCCAGGGAACATTACCTCATAGGATATCTAATTAGGTCCCTGGCAAAATGGAGCAAGAGTGGAAGAACTCCCCAGGGGTGTTAGCTGTTGGATCACAGAGGAGGACAGCATCTCCTTCCCTGTCTGTTCAGACTTAATTGGAGTGAGACTCATGGTCCTGACTGTACAGTGAGGATCCCACTGTTTATCCCTTGATCATCACATGTGTACTGAGATGTGAAGTGGCCTGTGCCTTTCCTTTCACTGAAAGGCAAGAGAAGCTGGCTATGGACGGTGGAATTCAATACTCATCATTCCTGTGTTATCTGGATAAGCCTCGAATGTGAGCCCTAAGATAGTACACTGGGAACCCCTGACAGTATACTGGGAACCAGCCCTAGGTGAGGCGCTGAATCCCAGCCAGGGAGATTGGACTGGTGTGACAACCACCCCTAGCCTCCTGAAGTCCAAAGCTGCTTTGCAGTTGGTGACACTTATTCCAGCTTCTCCACGTGTTGTCATCTGCCCTTTGTGGTAACAGGGAGCTGAAGGAAATAGAGGGAGACTATAGAGAAGACAAAATATTTAAATCCAAGCCTGAGAATGACAGCCAGGTTTGAATTCCGTTTGTGCCTATTCCCCGGCCCCAACCCTTACCGACTGGTTATTTTCTCATTTTGCACATGTCCCCTGCCTGCTCTCACTACCCAAAGAGGAGAGAGAACTGGTGGACACACTGATCTGCTCTAATCCTTTGTTCTTTGGTGACCAAATCATGGTCACAGCAACCCAGGAGCTTTCCTGAACAGGTGTAAATTAATAAAATTATTTTCAGAATGAAATATTGTGGTGGTGTGTGTGTGTATACACAGGAGGTTACATATATGTGTTTGCTTGCTGAGGGGAGGAAGGAACATAGAGGAATTAGGGATGGGGTAGCCAGGAGTTAATATAGAGGTAGACAGCTGTGCATATCTAGGCTTCCTTCCCACTGGCCAACATCTGGCTGCACGCATCTTTCTAGGCTTAGCTAGATCTCAGGTGGTGAAATGGAGTGAGGAGATGCCATCCTAATAATGAACCAAACAAAGCTGAGCCTTTGGGCATGAGATTCATGCAGGTTTTTGCCTGGACCTGGAAGAACTATCTGGTGCGCATTGAAAATACTTGATCCCCAGGGATCCCTCTGGGTAGGAGTAGAGTAGGGAAGGTAAGTCTCATAGGAGAAAAGCAGGATGGGCATTATTATTTGTTTATATCAAGTTCAGAAGCTCCAATACTTTGGCCACCTGATGTGAAGAGCTGACTCATTGGAAAAGACCCCAATGCTGGGAAAGATTGAGGACAAAAGGAGAAGGGGATGACAGAAGATGAGATGGTTGGATGACATCACTGACTCAATGGACATGAGTTTGAGCAAATTCTGAAAGTGAAGAACAAGGAAACCTGGCCCACTGCAGCCCACAGGGTCACAAAGAGCAACTGAACAAAACATCAGGTCACTGCTTGAGAAAAGCTAACTCACTTTCTCAAGGTACAATAAATTTTGAACCACGTCTATCTAACTTTAAAGCCCATGCTTGCTGTGTTTTACTGCCTCTCATTAGGAATGAACTTGGGACATTTGCTAAAGGGAAGATGGACTTGCTTTTTTTTCTTTTAATTGTATTGAAGTATAGTTGATTTACAATGTGTTAATTTTTACTGTACAGCAAAGTGATTCAGTTATACATTTTTCATATTCTTTTTCATTATTATCACTGGATATTAAATATAGTTCTCTGCTCTATACATTAGGAACTTATCATTTATTCATTCTTTATATAATAGTTGGCAGTTAGTAACCTCAAACTCCCAACCCATCTCTCTCCCGTCCACTCCTACCGCTTGGCAACCAGTCTGTTCTCTGTGACTCTGAGTCTGTCTCTGTTTTGTAGGTAAGTTTATTTGTGTCATATTTTAGATTGCACATATAAGTGATATCATATGGTATTTGTCTTTCTCTTTCTGACTTAGTATGATAATCTCTAGATCTGTCTATGTTGCTGCAAATGGCATTACTTCATTTCTATGGCTGGGTATTATTCCATTGTATATATGTACCATATCTTCTTTATCCAACATGGGCTTTCTGGTCACTGATTAAATTCTTTGATTTCTCTAAACAACCATACCTGGATGGTGTGTCACAATATCTGGTCTGATTGTTTCTATTTTTTGGCGCAAATTTAGGATTCAAAATGATCTAGAAGATTTTTTCCCTGTTCTTACTCTTCCTTATAATAACCTTGGTGCTGCCATAATAAATAGGATATCGGGTAGGAAAAGTAGGTAATCTCCACATTAGGTGTAGAATCCTTAGATTGCCCTCCTCTGTATTTTGGACATACTTCATCCAGGCCCTGTTTGAATCTACTGGGGAGCTCACAACTGAGCAATTCAGGTCAGAACTCCATGTCAATCAAGATTAGGAGAGGCTTGGTCAGATACACTAACAAATACTCCCAAATTCTCAGTAGCTAAAACAGCAATTATTTTTTAGGATTCTGTTTTAGTCAGATTCCAAGTCCTTCACACAATGAGTGGGGCTCTACTTGTGTTGTCATTTTTAGTTGGGGACTGTCACTATGGGACCTAGGCTGCCAGAGGAGCCACTCCAGAGAGTTGCAAGTTGTTTTGTGTCGGTCGGAGGAAAAAAAGCACAACCTAAAAGTTGAGAATTCTGTTTCATTTGGCAGACAAAACTGAGGACTTAAACCCAGGCTACAGCCTTCCAGATATTTCTCTGGAACTGCTACAGAGAGGTAAGGGAGGAGCCAGGACATATAGGAGTGGTGTAAAGACCCTGCAGTCAGTTGAAACTTCAAAAGATTACTGTTAACTAGAGAAAACCAAATTACTGTTTATTAAAGAAAATCTATGACAAACCTGCTGCTGCTGCTGCTGCTGCTAAGTCACTTCAGTCATGTCCGACTCTGTGTGACCCCATAGACGGCAGCCCATCAGGTTCCCCCATCCCTGGGATTCTCCAGGCAAGAACACTGGAGTGGGTTGCCATTTCCTTCTCCAATGCATGAAAGTGAAAAGTGAAAGTGAAGTCGCTCAGTCGTGTCCAACTCTTAGCGACCCCATGGACCACAGCCTACCAGGCTCCTCCGTCCATGTGATTTTCCAGGCAAGAGTACTGAAGTGGGATGCCATTGCATTCTCCATGACAAACCTAGATGGTATTAAAAAGCAGAGACATTACTTGCCAACAAAGGTCCATCTAGTCAGAGCTATGGTTTTTCCAGTAGTCGTGTATGGATGTGAGAGTTGAACCATAAAGAAGGCTGAACACCAAAGAACTGATGCTTTTGAGCTGTGGTGTTGGAGAAGACTTGAGAGTCCCTTGGACTGCAAGGAGATCAAACCAGTCAGTCCTAAAGGAAATCAGTCCTGAATATTCATTAGAAAGACTGATGCTGAACCTGAAGCTCCAATACTTAGGCCACCTGATGTGAAGAACTGACTCACTGGAAAAGACCCTGATTCTGGGAAAGATTGAAGGTGGGAGGAGAAGGGGATGACAGGAAAAGATGGTTGGATGGCATCACGGATTCAAAGGGCATGAGTTTGGGTGAGCTCTGGGAGATGGTGAAGGATAGGGAAGCCTGGCGTGCTACAGTCCATGGGGTTGCAAAGAGTAGGACATAACTGAGTGACTGAACAACAAAGAAAACCAGATATCCCAAGTTAATGAATTTTCTATGCATGAGAAGATTTAAGAGTCTGGGCTCATTGTTATGCATCTTAGCTATCTAGGGCTAGTGTCCTGTTCTTTCCCTTGCTGAGTCCCCTCAGGTGTGCCTATGAGGTGGGTACAGTGGCTAAGGACTTGGCAGGGGGCAGCTCATTTGTCTCCATCCTGAGTTCCCTTAGGGCTCACCTGTGGCTTAATGTCAAGGAGCGTAGCAAAGTTCCTGCTAGTCTTGAAGTCTCCACTAAAAAGTGATGTGTTTTACTTCTTATATTTTGCTGGTCAGAACAGTCAATCAGAGCAAGTCTGTCTTCAAGAGGGAAGGGAGGGGCAGCAAATCTTGTGGAACAGTAATACAGAATGCCACAAGGACCTTCCATCATCTTGTACCACTTAGTTCTTTCAGATTTCTTCCTACTTCTTCTGTCCTTCACTATCTCCCAGAGTTTGCTCAAATTCATGTCCATTGAGTCTGTGATGCTATCTAACCACCTCATCCTCTTCCACCTCCTTCTTTTGCCTTCAATCTTTCCCAGCATCCGGGTCTTTTTCAATGAGTTGGCTGTTTGCGTCAGGTGGCCAGAGTATTGGAGCTTCAGCTTCAGCATCAGTCCTTCCAATGAATACTCAGGGTTGATTTCCTTTAGGACTGACTGGTTTGATCTACTTGCAGTCCAAGGGACTCTCAAGAGTCTTCTCCAGGACCACAATTTGAAGGCATCAATTCTTTGGTGCTCAGCCTTCTTTATGATCCAAGTCTCACATCCATGCATGACTGCTGGAAAAACCATAGCTTTGACTTATTGCCTGGGACTAAATCTTTCTGAATTAGCTCTGACTCCTCACCTCCCCCTAAAGAATATCTGAACCTTCCTCCCTCTGTGTCTATGTCTTACCTTTCCCCTATAAGTTAACTCCCACATCTATTATATGTAAAACCCCAGTTTTAAGTAGTGTGGGTAAGGTAGTGAGTTTCTTTTTAAATCTTATGTTTCAAAATCCACATAAAAATCATTTTTTTCCATTAATCCTTTCTTATCCCTTCAGTCCATACCAAATTCTCTAAATTTCTTTATTATAAACAGATGCAACTGCCCATCTGTTTAGGGTACAAATGCTATTCTACAGCATTCTTCTATGTGTTTTCTAATTAAATATTTTGCTTCCCTGACCAGACTATAAATTCTGAGAGAGCAGCATTTTTTAAGGATCTCCAGAACCCTCAAAGTCTTGCAAAAGAGTAAGCACAGAGCATTTAATCCTTTTTTATTCAAATACCTAAGCAGAAGGAACTGACTCAAACTTCAGGAAGCAGTTGTGAGGACAGAGTGGCAGGAAATGACAGAAAACCTGAATACGGAACTGAAATAGCAGCTCAGAGTTTCTTGCTCTGAAGTGGCAGCAGCTAGAAAGGAGTCGAGTGTCTTCGTGAGGAGCTGAGAGAGCAAACGCAGAGTTGAAGGTGGGTACTCTGGGCAGTGGGAAAACTGGGGAGCACAGGACAAGAGTTGAAATGAGAGGGCCCTACCTGGCTGTTACTCCTTGCTGAGAGGTGAAGTCATTGCTAGTAGGCTTTTAACCTTTTATGGCCAGCAGGCCGGCCTGGTGGTTAGTAGTTGTAGATAATGAGCATGTGAGGATGGAAGCAAAAGGAAAACGCTGGAGCCTAGGGAATGGGATTCAGCGGCCATCCAGGCCTCCTGGTTTATGCTGACTACCTTCAATTCTCTCTAAGGCCCTTTGCTCCTAAGCACTGAGTTGGGAGAAGGATTATTGGAGGTGAAGACAGTCTCTGCCCTTGGAGAGCTTATGGGTCTAACAGAGAGACCAAACCCACAGGAGACATTGCAACAGATCAGGAAGTAGTTGCTAATGTACACCAGTGCTGACAACCAAGTGCCAAATTAAGTCATGGTGCTTTGACTAGGGCTGGTTTCTCTGTTTGTAGGATCACAGAATCTCAGAAAGTCAGAAATACAGGGGACTTGATGGAGTAGTGAGGTTAACCTCTTTGTTTTCCATTGGGAAAAACAGAGTTTCAGAGATGTTCAATACTTTACCAAAGTATTGATAAATGCCTGGTACCTGGCAAATGTGTACATACTCTTATCTTGACTCCCTAACCCATTTTCCCACAGGAGCTTAGGAACAGAGCTGGGTGACCTGACACCCAGTCCCTGTACTTGACTGAGGCAGCCTCATAAGTAGATCCTCGATCATGCCTGATATCCATGGTACCAGGCCTCAGCCAGTTACTCTCTGGTCTCCTACCTCGAGCTAGCACCTTTGGCTTCCCTATTCCCAGCCAGTAGCTCAAGGATGCTAAGTTGGCTCTGAGTCAGAAACCCTTCTGTCTCAAAAATACATGAGGATGAGAGGCTTATGGGAGAGTTAGGCTGGGGCCTGAGAGGAGCAGCAAGAAAGAGGACAGGACCATCGGTCCTCACTGCTTCCTTATTGTTCATGAATATTTCAGAAACTTCTCTTTTCCAGTTTTCTGTGTGAATTCCTTTTGATGGCAGAGCAGCCCCAGAGCCAGGACCATAGGTCTTATCCACCTCCCCCCCATCCAGTATTGTCACCCCCTCAGGGGAAGACAGAACTGCTCCTGGCAGTGACTCGTCCCACAGTCCAGCCGACTCGGTTCATACTTCCCCAGTGCCCTCTTTGCATCTCGTTAACCAGTCTACCCCCAGATCTCCCTTTGGCTGGTTTCCCAGGGGTTTTTCAAAGAGTTGGAGAAGAATGGGGTTTTCAAGTGAAAAGGAAAATTGGAGAGTCTGAGTGCCTGGCTGGAGAGACTGGAAGGTCCTAGGAGTGATTGTAAGAGGGGCTCCTTTAAGAGACAGTAAAGGGTGTGGGGAAGTATTCTGAGCATGGAAGGGTGGGCAGGAGTTTCCAGCTAGCGAGTGGTACCAAGGTCAAGGAGTCATAGACTAGAGCAGATGAGCATTGTCTGTTGTTTCCCCTTCACACCAAGACCCAGGACCCCACAGATGCAGAGCACCTGTTCAACTCCTCATGCAGGACTGGCAGGCCAACAGAGACACTGGGGATTCCCTAGTAAAATGATAATTTGGCACCCCCTCAAATTAGTGTTCTCCAGATATTTCTTAAACACACCTATTTAGTATAATAAAAGTCTAATGATTCTTAATGTTCAGAACAAGGGATTTTATATTCTCTTTTTTGAACCAGTTACTGTCCTTAAAAAATAATATATTGTTGTTGTTCTTGTTGTTTAGTTGCTAAGTCATGTCCGACTCTTTGCAATCCCATAGACAGTAGCCCACCAGGCTCCTATGTCCATGAGATTTCCCAGGCAAAGGTGCTAGAGTAGGTTGCCATTCCCTTCTCCAGAGGATCTTCCTGACTCAAGGATCAAACCTACGTTTCCTGCTTGGCAGGCAGATTCGTTACCACTGAGCCACCTGAGAAGACCAAAATATGATTAAACCATTTTTAAAACTTGAATAATGAATGAATTAGTCTCAGCAAATAATACGTCCCCATGCATTGTTCAGTGAAGGAATTTCAGCTGAGAGCCCCTATTGACATGCAACTTGTACAGTGGCCAGTCTTAGAGTGGAGTTTAGCAGATTGTAGAGAGGAGTGTAGATGTTCACTTTATCAAGAGCTGGGCTAATATATACCATGACACCTATGAAAGAAGTCATATGTAGATACCTGAGTGAAACGACACTGTCATTCCAGGCATGTTCTATATCCCTCATTGATAAATTAAGACACTCTCTGGGCTGGCCTCTTGACACAAGCAGGGGATTTCAGCAGTTTTGACACCCAAGTTATTTAGTGTTACCTACACCCATGACTTCTCTCCAGACTAAAGAAACATTGGGCTACTAATCACTGATTTCAGCATTCTTGTTTTCCCACCTCTTGATTTTTTTTCATCTAATCATTCCCATTTTTGTTCACCCTCAGATGTGGAAGTCTGTAGTAGGACATGATGTATCTGTTTCCGTGGAGACCCAGGGTGATGACTGGGACACAGACCCTGACTTTGTGGTGAGTGTGGAAATAACTTTACTTGGACAATAAGTGACAGAGGGCAGGCATGTGGGCTACTCTGTATACTTTGAGGGGGACTAGAAGAAGTCTAGGACTGGGCTAGCCCTAGATGGGACTGTCTGGCAGGACAGTTGTCCGCAATGAGTGGGGCCTGCATGATAGCCTGCGTTGAGACTGGAAGGTGCAGATGAGTGATGTTGTGACTGATAGGATTTGGAAGGCAGTGCTAAGGAAGAAGATTAACTGGGTCTCATTTGGCCTGTGAGCTGGGATTTGAGCTGGATATGTATAACTTGGAGGGATTCAGGAGTTGTAGGAGACCTAAAGGAGAAAGTTTGAGGGATGCAGAATAGAAAGAGAGGTTTCAGAGCTCACCAGCTCCATGTTACCATGGGGGTCTGGGTGGGATAGGCGTGGAGAGGGGTCCGAGTAAAGTCCCAGACTGAAGGAAACAGCTGATACAGGGCACGTGGGGGGCATGTGTGTCAGCTGTGTGGCCTCTCAGTTTAGCACATCTCTTGCCATCACTTATTGCTAAGTGCTGTCTTCTGTAGAATGACATCTCCGAGAAGGAACAACGGTGGGGAGCCAAGACCATCGAGGGCTCTGGACGCACAGAGCATATCAAGTAGGTGCCGAAAGGACTGGGAGGGGGGAAAGAGGTATGGGAATCGTCCAGGGAAAACTTGGAGACTCAGGAGAAGGAGAGAGAGAAATTCCTGTCTCTATGTTTTTGTTTTTTCTTCTTTCTCTCTCTGTGTGTCCCTCTGTCTATCATTCTGTATTTGTTTCATGTCCCTCCTCTTATGCCCCCAACACTACTATCTGTTTTTTATTTCCAGCTTCTCTGATATTTCCCCAAGTGGGTTTATAATCTTAACAGTTTCTCTTCTTTCAGTTAGACATGAGGAATCCAGAGAGGGAAGTGCTGACTTCACTAATTTATTGTCTGTCTACTCACATATATATAATATGTGTCTGCATTGTAGGGTGACTTCAAATGGGCCAAGAAGGATTCAGTAAAATGTCAAGGGAAAGAACTCAGAATAAATATTATTAATATAAATAAGAGGATAATATCAGGTCCCACACCTGGTATAAATGACTTTTAAAATAAAAATTTATATTTGACTATTTGACAGAAGCAGGAAGTGATGAATGGTAACATGAAGAAATATGACATTTGGAAAACCTGTTGATTAAAACTATGTTAGTAATCTTAAAGATCATAAACCAATATTTTACCAGAAAAAAAAGCAAAACAAACAACAAATTCTGATACCACAAGAGAGAAGGAGGTTACACACAAATCCAGGGATTTCTGTGGGGTATAATGTGTATTAGGATTGTGAGATTCTCTCATTTCCATGGATTATTCAGGCTTTTCTAACTAGGGCTGTTTGCCTTGGATAGTGTCAAAATGTCCAATAGACACAATAAATAGTATAATAAGAGCAAAATTTTAAAGTAAATAAGTTGGCAAAATTAATCATTTTAAGCTCCACTTTAATGCCCCTTCCTCATAAACAATAGTATTCTTACCTCGTTTTCTTCTAGATTTTTAAAAGTGTCAGCAGATGGTCACATTGCACAAGCCGCATGCTATGAAAATTTGGCACTTGTTTATATAATTTGATAATATTTAACACTATGCATTGTTGTTTAATTGGACATAAGTGATTTATTTCAGGTAAATGTATGGATATCATATTTAAGGAAACTAGGCAATTCTGGAAGCAGTTGTAAAGTGAAAAAATGGAATTGGGTCATGCAGGAAGCTTCTCTGGTGCTCTTCTGTAGGCTCATCAAATCCTGCCCAAGTTAAGATGTCTTTCCTTTTCTGAGAAAAGGCCACTCAGCCCTCATATCCTGAGAGCTATTAAGATAAGCATACAAACTCTCCTTGTACCCTTCCCTTACCAATGCCCCTCACATGCAGAGCAGAAGTAGAATGTTTTAAAGAGGACCCCTAAACCCCTGCCACAATCTTATGGAAAGAGCTTGAGCTTGGATATCAGACAGATTTAGATTCAATTTACAGCTCTACCATTAATGGCAATGTGAGTTAGGCATATAACTTCCCTGAAACTCAGCTTATTTATTTATCCAATGAGGATGTGACTAGCTACCCTGCAGATACATGGTTAGAATTCAATGAATTAGCATGTAGCAATGTCTAGTGCAGTACTTAGCACCTCTTGGCCTCTCAAGAATGTTATCTCCATTTCCTGTTAGTATAGATCGGTTGAATCAGATTTTCTTCCTAAAAGCCTAAAATAAACATGTAAACAGATGACAATCTTCCTTATTCCTAAGTGGCATTTATTTGGACTACTGTGTTACACAATCCAGTATATTTATTACTCTGACTGGTGACCCCTGGAGTTGTAAAATGTGGTGACCCTGGGTGTTTCCTTATTAGCCTAACTGGATCTATATCTGATAAAATAAATGGTGGGGACATTTACCCAAAAACCCACTCCTCTCCCATTTACCCAGGCTATTGAGGTGTAAAAGCCCAGTCTCTGCTCGTTCCTAGCCAGGTGATCTTAGACAGGCCACTTCCCTCTCTGATTCTCAAACTTACCACTGGGATCAAAAAGATTTCTAGAGGGCCTTCCAGTGGTAAGTCTATAATACTCTGGGATTCTTTCTGGCTCATGTGGACTAGAACAACCTTTAAGATCAGATGGGAATCACTAAGGTCCTTGGAAAGGAGGGGAAGTAGAAGAGAACTGTAGCTGCAGAGCTCAGATGACTCAAAGCAGGAAAAGGAAGTGCTTGTGGTTCTCATTAATCTCACTACCATCCCCCATGATCTTTCTTTTTGAGGTCTGTAAAAATAGATTTAGTTTGAGGAGTGGTTTGGTAATTTGGTAAATAGTTCAAATGATCCTATCCATCCTTCATCTGTTGTGTAGAGAAGTCCTGGGCCAGGCAACTCCAAGTAGTCTGGTATTTCCAGGACCTGCCTGGTTTTCAAGGGTTCTTGCCTTCTCTCCATCATCTCACCACTTTTGCTCACTTATGTTCATGCACCTCTTTATGAGGCTGGATGTGAACACTGATCTGCTTCTTGTCACTATAGCTTAATTTTGCCTGTCCTAGAATTTCATGTAAATGGAATAATATATAATATATTTTTTGTGTCTGTCTGCTTTCAGTCAGCATATTTTTGAGATCTATTCATGGTCTTGTATGTATCAGTCTTTTGTTCCTTTTGAAGGTCAGGTAAATATAAATAAAGCTGTCAAGTAAAGCTATCATGAACATTTGGGTCCAGATCTTTTTCTTTACATATATTTTTACTTCCCTTGGGAAATACCTAAAAGTAGTATAATTCCTGAGTCATATAAAAAGTCTGTTTTAATTTTTCAAGAAACTGCTTTCTGAAAGAAATGTTTTTTCATTCCTACTAATAATGTATGGGTTTTAATTGTTCAACATCCTTGTCTACACTTAATATTGTTAGTATTTTTAATCATTCTTGTTAAGTGTGTAGTGATTTTAACTTGTGTTTTTCTACTGGATAATTTTATTGAACATCTTTTCATTTGCCATTCATTTATTTTCATATATCTTCATTTTGAAGTGTCTATTCAAATCTTTTTCTCACTTTTAAAGTGGGTTATTTGTATTCTCTTGAGCTTTAAGAGTTCTTTAAATATTGTAGATAAAAGTATTTTGTGACATTATGTTTTATAAATATTTTCTGCCAGACTATAACTTGCCTTTTCACTCTATTAATAGCTTCTTTTAAAGATCAAAATATGTTAATTCTGATAATGTCTAATTTTATCAAAAATTTTTATGGTCAGTGCTTTATGTGTCTAGGAAATTTTTGCTTACCTCAAATTGTGAAGATTTTTTCCTTTGTCTTTTTCTAAAAGACTTATAGTTTTAGCTTTTACATTTAAGTCTACAGTTTACTTCAAATTTGTTTTTGTGTAGATTATGAGGCAAAGATTGAGGTTCATTTTATTTCCATTTGGAGATTTCATTATTCCCACATCATTAAAAGACTATTCTTTCTTCATTGACTTACCTAGCATCTTTGACCATATATGTGAAGGTCCATTTCTAAACTATTTTATTGATTTATGTCTGCTCTAACCCATACCATATTACACTGAATGTTGTAACATTATTGTACTGTACCTTTTATTGTAGCAATGAAATCAGGTAGTCCTTCAACTTTGTGCTCCTTTAAAACATAATTTTTTATTATTCCAGAACTTTACATTTCCACATGCATTTTAGAATTAGCTAGTTGATTCCTACAAAAATACCTGTTGGTGTTTTGACTGGGAATGCATTGAATCTATAGATCATAGATTTGGAGAGAACTTACATCTTAGTTTTCCAAGTTTGAGATCCAAAACTTGATCTCAAGTTTTCCAAGCCATGAATATGGGATATGTTTCCATTTACTTAGGTCTTCTTTAATCTTTTCAGAAATGTTTTTCAGTGTTCAGGTCTTGCACGTATTTAATTAAAGTTATACTAAAATATTTAGTGTTATTTCATGTGATGGTAAGTAGAATTTATTTTTAGCTTTAAATTCTCAAATGTCTGTGGCCAATATGTAGAAATAAAATTGCTTTTGATTGTAGCCTTGTTTTCTGGGACCTTGCTAAATGTACTGAATAGTTCTAGTAGCAAACTGATGTAGATTCTTTAGAATTTTCTTTGTCTATGATCATTGTTTGTGAATAAAATCTTATAGTCTGAGTCACTCATTTTTGTGCTTTTACTTTTATAATAATAACAAAGAATAAAAGTCTGTTCCTTCTCTTAGCTCATCTTTGAGGTCCTGGTTACTATAAACTATACTGTTTTATCAATTCCAAGGCAATGTATTTTAAGACTTTAAATAGGCTTCTGAGAGTTAATGTGTCAAGTTTCTTAGTTATGCCAATTAGGACATTGAAATGTAACTTTTAGTTTCCTCTCTATATCTTCCATCTGGTCACTGTTTCCATACTTAATTATCTTTGTATGTAATATCTTTGTATCTATGTATCTATGTATACTTTCATACTTAATTATCTTTGTATTGTCAGAGTCTAACGGTACCTCACACTAAAAAAATTTAATAAATATTTAATGTTTATTTAATAATGGAATAATATGACACATTTATAGTAGCTTCAGCTATAGTCTAAAGAATTTGGTAAAAAGTTGGTCTTTGCTGGCCGCAACATTTTCATTCAAATTTTATTATCTATTGTCATGATTCTCTGATTAGCCTCACTGCCAAATATTAGGGAGATATTCCTGAATCTCATTTTCTAATCCCTTTAAAAACTTGTTTCAACTATAATGCAGTTATGATTCATGCAACAGTGACTGGATTTATTAAAACTTTGCATATTTTCCCCATTTGAAAGTAATGTCTAGTCCCATTTTATTCATTCTTCATCTGAATACTTTGGTTGGGAAATATTGGTCGTTTACCTGTTCTTGGCACCAGTAACTTTTTTGGACACAGATAGTTCTAAAGTGTTGCTGTTGTCAAACTAGCAACACAGGATCTCTGCCTTCACTGCTGCCAGAGGGTTTAGAGCAGGCACGGGAACAGAAGGTTCTTCCAGCTCTTAGCTTAATTTCATCTGGTTCAAAGCCAGTTTTCTAAAATTAGCTTTGACTAAAGCCAAGATGGCCTTTTAAAAAGATTTCAGGTGGCCTTACACTACAAGGCCACAAGATGGATCTATTCTTCTATGAAAGAGGAGAATTTTATTTATGAAATGGCCACTCTAACTGTAACCAATATATCTGGTTTATCTGAGCTAGTAAAGTTCCAGGAAAATTGCTCTCTCAGTTCTCCAAACCTCCATTTCTCACTGCAGGAAGTCAAGGTTTCTATTTAGGGTTCTCTTGCCCAAGTGTTTCTAAGAATCCCCGCTGGTCGTTATATGTGTCCAAGCATATATATGTATATGTATATGTGTGTGTATATATATATATATATATATATATATATATGTATGTATATATATGTGTGTGTCCTGATTGTCACTTATTGGTGCTGGAGTTGGTGCTGGTGCTGAGCTATCACTTCATATCCTCAGGCCAAACAAATACCCATAGATGTTCTGTGTACTGTGCTGTGCTTAGTCGCTTCAGTCATGTCCGACTCTTTGTGACCCTATGGACTGTGGCCCACCAGGTTCCTCTGTCCATGGGATTCTCTAGGCAAGAATACTGGAGTGGGTTGCCATTTCCTTCTCCCGGGGATCTTCCCAACCCAGGGATCGAACTTGTATTTCTTATGTTTCCTTCACTGATAGACGAGTTCTTTACCACTAGCACCACCAGGGTAAAGATGAAAGTGAAGCAAAGGGGAGAAGGCCTCCTTTCGGTGTTATGTTCTATTAGGGATAGAGGTGTCCTAAATGAAGGTTATTAATTTTTAGTTCTCTTGGGAATAAGCAGATTTAGGGGCAGTGTGAAGGACATTCATTTTTTACAAGAAGAGACATAAAATACTTAATGTGTAGATAAATTCCTCAATGCTGTATTTTTCCTACTCAATGTGTTTAATAACTTCCTCATGTGCCATTAAAAAGTAATATGCAGTGCTTGCTTCGGCAGCACATATACTAAAGTTGGAATGATACAGAGAAGATTAGCACGGCCCCTGCGCAAGGATGACATGCAAGTTCGTGAAGCGTTCCACATTTTTAGATCTGAAAGAGACACGTGTAGCCCAATGTTCATCGCAGCACTGTTTATAATAGCCAGGACATGGAAGCAACCTAGATGCCCATCAGCAGACAAATGGACAAGAAATCTGTGGTACATATACACAATGGAATATTACTCAGCCATTAAAAAGAATACATTTGAATCAGTTCTAATGAGATGGATAAAACTGGAGCCCATTATACAGAGTGAAGTAAGCCAGAAATGGGGGGGGGAAGTAATGTGCAATTTACTTAACTATTCCCCAATTTTTTCCACATAAATTCTTTCTTGGTTCTTATTATTAAATATAATGTTTCAGTGAATATCGTTAGACACTATGCTTTGCCACAGTTAAAATTATTTCCTTGGGATAGACTTCTAGGACTAGAATGTGTGGGTAAAGTGTATATGAATCATTTTGTGCTTCTTGAGGTAGAACACCTAATTGTTAGACAGCAAATCCATTCAGAGAGGAAAATAACTCTTCAATTACTGGCCTCTAACATTTAGGAACATGAGTCTAAATATCAGAAGGTTATTTAGTGAACAAAATGACAGACTAAAGGATACTATTGGTTGATAAAGAGTTCGTATCAGGCTATATATGCCAGCCACACTAATCCCTTACTCCCAGACCCAGCACAGGTTATTTGGTACTGTTTGGGACTATTGCTAAAAATGAACAGAACACACCACAAAATTACTATTTTTCTGGCAAGGAGGGTTCATTGACTTCTCTGTGTTAGACAAGTCTCTGTGATGTGTTTGCTTCCAGCATCCACCTGCTGAGGAACAAAGTATCAGAGGAGCATGATATTCTCAAGAAGAAAGAGATGGAGTCAGGGCCCAAAGCATCTCATGGCTATGGAGGTCGGTTTGGAGTGGAAAAAGACCGAATGGACAAGGTGAATTGAAAGGGGGAATTTGCTTTAAAAAAATAAATAAGTTAATTAATTAATTAATTTGTTTATTTTATGGTTAAAACTTACTCAAAAGTAAAACATCCATTTGGTTTTAAAATTGAATGTCCAGGGACTTCCCTGGTGATCTAGTGGTTAAGATCTCGAGTTCCCAATACAGGGGGCCCTAGTTCCATCCCTAGTCAGGGAACTAGATCCCACATGCCACAGCTAAAGATCCTGCATACCATGACTAACACCTGGTACGGACAAATAAAATAAATATTAAAATAGAATGTCCACATATTATTTGTATCATTTTTCCTCTGATTTCAACACATAATATATAGATGGCAGAAAATGGGAGCCAAGACTTTAGAAGAACTGGCCTAGTGTAGGCTCAGCTACACTGTAATTCGTAGACTGAAGAGACACAGAACACACATACAGAAGGGGAAAACAGGTTTTAAAATCATTTACTGCTTTTAAATGTATGTGTATTATGTCTTTGCTACAATTTCTTTTACTGTTTGCTGTATATTTAGTGGGGTTTTTTTTACACATTTTATACATCACTTATGATTTGCACATCATCACTTATGATTTGCACATAGGTGTGAAAAATGTTGATGGGGATTTATCTATTAGATGCCCTTGAATATCATATTATCTTTCCTTTATCCATTAGATACTATGAAAGTATGATACAAGAAAGTTTGTATGGTGAAGCATATTTTTCCATTGATTTTCCTAACCTCAAAAATAGAGATATATTCCTATAATTAATAAATGTTTAATCTCCACAGAGAAAAAACAATTTAATGAAAACCGTTAGTCCACCCTCAAGAAGTGTTTTGTTTGGTCATTGTGTAAAATGCAGTCTAGACATTGTATTCTCCTAAAGAATTCCTAGGGGAAAGAAATGTATATAAGCAGTCATTCATTCTTGAATTCAGCAAGCAAAGTTGACCTACGCAGACCCAAAAATACTGCAAAGTGAGCTCTCAGGAGCTCATATAGGGCAGTGTTTCACATCACTGTCTACATTTATGCCAGCATGGAATTGGAAATGTAGGAGGAAGAGGGAGCTTTCTAATTTCTTCTTAGTTGAGACTCTGTAAGGTATCACTGTTTGGTTTGAATACTGTTGTGGTTTTCCATTTCCTTCTCCGGGGGATCTTCCCGACCCAGGGATTTAACCTGGGTCTCCTGTATTGCAGGCAGATTCTTTACCATCTGAGCCACCAGGGAAGCCCATTTGGTTTGAAGTATTATTCAATTCCAAGGTTATTTATTAAATCATCCATATTGAAACATTGAAAGGGATATACCTTTCAAAACCAAGTAGAAAATTGTAGGAGGAAAAAGTGGAAGAGGGTGTTTTAAAAATTAAATTTTATGTCATGACTACTCATGGTACTGTCTACCAGCCCCATTTGGTATAAAGAGTCAGTCACTTAATATCAGGGTTCATGTGGCACTTCAGAACTTTGATGGTCTTACAGGAACAAAGATCCAAAACAAAAGCACTTTGTTGTATTAGAGAAATATTCAGCCTGGCTATGGCCTCTTGTCAGTCCCCTTAGGTCTCCCCTCAGTAACTATCCTCATTCCTCTTTTGATACCCAAAGGCCTTGTTTCACCCTCTTTTGTTTCTGCTTTAAACACCGCTCTGTCTATGCAGTCTCTATCCTTCTGGTTCCCAACACATCTTATGCGAGTTTCCTAAAGGATGAGTTCCTAGTGGTATGAAAGAAGAATCAGAATGTGCAAGACTCCAGAAAAAGTTACCTTGCTCTCCCATTACATGTTCCTTGGCACTACTGTCAAGTTATCAGTATAGTATATATGTAGTATGTATCAACATAGGTTATCAGTATGACCCAGAATGGAATTTCTTGTATTCTTACATCCTGTCCTGTCTGCATCATTTTATTTTTCCTTTGGTCATTTTTTATCTACTTACTCATTCCCATCTTGATTTTTCTCAGAGTGCCGTGGGCCATGAGTATGTTGCTGAGGTGGAGAAGCACTCTTCTCAGACTGATGCTGCCAGAGGCTTTGGGGGCAAATATGGAGTTGAGAAGGACAGGGCAGACAAGGTAAGTGACAACGCTCTCTCCCTGCACCATCCAACTCAGATCATGTGGGACTTACCAACAATACCTTGAAAGTAGGCCTGTGCTTCTCCTGTGGAAAAATGGGGCAGTGGTCTCAAGGAGGGTCCATCATGAGAATGGCTCCCACACAACTACCTCAGCAAGTTCTTTGGTGCCACTGTTGGAGGCCACATCCTGAGCTAAAAGGTGTTCATTTAAAAGAGACAAAGACCCTCAAACTCTGAATAAGGAATCCCTAAGCCATTGGTTTTATCAATCCTGTATGCATGAAGAGAAAAGAGGAAATTCCAGAGCTCCTCCTTTGGCCTGATAGCAAAGTCTTATAAATAGTTATGCCTTTCAGGAAAACAGAAATATCAGCTGAAATATTATTACAATGGTAGCAAATAATCAAGTAAAACAACTAATTAAGGTTACAATACTTTTAGAATGTAAAGGTTACTTTTCACAGCATCTAGCACCAACTTGCTACAGTCCAGGTGCTTTTAAGGACTTCTTTGTACAAAGAGTTCTTTGTACAAAGAGTAGTTTTGAAGAGAGAGAAAAAGAAAGGACAGTATGAGTACAGATGACAGAGTGGTCAGGAGAGTAAGACTGATAACTCATTCATGTTCTCATTTTCACACCTTAGTAGATCAGTTTCTTTGAGCTCATTTTTTATGGTACAAAATAGTGTGTCTGCCCTGCAGCAGCACACAGAGAGGCTGTCTTCACTGCTACCTGAGATTTTTAATTTTGTTTAACCTGCAGTTGTTAATAAGTGGCCTGAATCCTTAAAGCTAAGTGTTAGAATGTTATTTGAATTGTAGGTAGTTAAAAAAATAAAACACAGAAAAATTAAAAACATACTGTAAGGTAAAGGAGAACCATAGAGGATAATGTTTAAAAGCAGTAATGGAAATATGGAGCTTGTAATGTTCTTCTCTAATCAGGGTGGAATTTCCCTTTCATCTTGGCCCCCCTCCTGCCTCTGCCTACTTTTTCATTGTTCTTTATTTCATCTTCTGCCTCACCAGCCACAAACTGAATCACCTTAACAGCCAGTGTGTCTTGTAAATCAAGAAAAAATACATACTAATAGCTTTTAAAATGCAATATATAGATTTGCTTAGAGACTCATAATTACTAAGCCATATGGGGATACAGCTATGTTAGGTACTTGCCAAGATATCCAGTCCCAAAGCAGCTAGGATCCAGATTCTTCTGGCTGCCTCTTATCCAACAAAATCCACGTCTCTGGGTTTGTGCTGCTGTCTAAGAAAAGAGAAGAGGCGTAGTATAATCAGTCAGTATAGGATGATATCTCTTAACATGTGCACAGTGCTTTATAGTTTCCAAGGCACTTTTCTAGCTATTGTCTCAGTTTAGTAAGAGTTAGAAAGAAAAACACTAACTTAATGAGTGACCTACACTCTCTATATTTTTCCCATTTAGTCCTCACAATATCCCAAATATACTGGAATCATTTTACAGTTGAGTTAGTAAGACAGATATACCTATTTTTATTTCATGTTTGAAGAACCTGAGGTTCAGGAATATTAAAGGATGTACCTAAAGTTACACAATTATAAAAAGGGACGTGAGGTTGGGGTTTGGATCTAGATCTCTCTGTGTGCAGAGCCCATGGTCATTGCTCTGTAGCAAGCTGCCTATCTGGGTACTATTTGTTTCTACATTGTACTCCCATACTCAGCTTTGAGCTCCTATAACTATCTCCTGGGCTGAGTTAGGTGTTAGGGTATGTGAGGGAAGGGGAAACATTAACTCTGACTCTAACTGATTCTCTCTCCTTTTCTCTGTAGTCAGCGGTTGGTTTTGATTACAAAGGAGAAGTGGAGAAACACACATCTCAGAAAGGCAAGAACCCTGCACTTCAACCTGACTGCTCAGACTTCAGCTTCCAACAACCATCATCAACTCCCTTTAGTTCCATGACCCAGTTCCCCACTACTTTATTTATTTTTAAAATCTAAGCCTGTGCTTGCTTCTTTCTCCTTTATTGCTTTCATGTCCTTTGGCCATGCCATGTGACATGCATGATCTTAGTTTCTGGACCCAGGATTGAACCATGCCCCCTGTAGTAGAAACATGGAGTCTTAATCACTGGACTGCCAGTGAAGTCCCTCCTTCATCACTTTCTACATCATTGGTCAATTTTTTAGTCCCCTTTCCCATTTAATGGATTAAAAATAAGATATTATACTCCTTCATTTTAAGAAGTTATTCCTAACTATTAATATGTATCTGTGACTTAAAATTAGTCACTATTTCTTCATGAGTAATATAGGAAACATAGAATAATTTAATTACATTTCTTCTACATTCTAAAGCCTGTAAAAACTGGATAATTGTAATCTAGTATATTGGTTCCATCTGTTTGTTTTTAAACCCCCCCCCCCAAATTAATCATTATTATTACTAGGTGAATGCTTATTTAAACTGACCAATGTGTTTACCAACTTCCTACCTCATCATTGTTTATTATAGTTTATTGTTTCCTCCTTGCTTCCTCTATTTCCTTCTTGCTAGAGTGTGTCCTTTGATAATTCTTTCAGTGACAGCTTATGAAAGAACTCTCAGATTTTTCCTTCTTGCTTCCTCTATTTCCTTCTTGCTAGAGTATGTCCTTTGATAATTTTTTCAGTGACAGCTTATGAAAGAACTCTCAGATTTTGTCTGAAAAAAATATTTATTTTGATCCATTCTTCATTGTTATTTTCTCTTCATCATATTGAAGATACTATTTCATCATCTCTGGCTTTTCTCTTGGATTTGTCTAATCAACATTCTTTTGTAGGTAACATGTCTCATCTCTTTAATTTTTATTTTTTTTTTTGGTCTCATGAAAAATTTTCCCTTTGTCTCTGATATCCTGAAATATCATCAGTCTATGTCCAGATGTTAGATCTATTTTTATTATTCTACATGAGACTTACTGCTCCTCTTCAACCTGAGAGATAACTTTCAATATGACATTTTCTCTTTGGATAGTGCCTCTCCTCTCTTTTCTTCTCTTCTTTCTTCTGGAACTCAGATGTGTATTAGAACTTTTCAATCTCTTTTCTCTCATACACACTAAAAAAAGAAAAACTTTATATCAATTTTATATTTATGACAAAATTGAAAGAAAAGTACATAGATTTTTAATACACTTCTGTCCCTACACATGCATAGCCTCCCCTGTTATCATTATTGATCAGTTTTTTTTTTTTTAGTCAAGGATGATTCTACATTGATATATCAAAATCATTCAAATTCCATAGTTTACTTTAGGGTTCACTCTTGGTGGTGTACATTCTATGGGCTTGGACAAAAGTATAGTGACATATATCTGTCATTATACTGTCATGCAAAGTATTTTCAGCGCCCTAAAACTCCTCTGTGCTCTGCCTGTTCATTGCCCTCACTCCGCAGCAACCGCTGATACTGTCGCCATAGTTTTGCTTTCCACAGAATATTATATGGTTGGAATCACATACCATGTAGCATTTCTAGATTGGCTTCTTTCACTAAGTAATATGCATTTAAGTTTCCTCCATGTCTTTTCATAGTTTGATAGCTAATTTCTTTTTAGTTCTGAATATTATTCCTTTGTCTGGATGGACCACAGTTTTTTTACCCATTTACCTACTGAAACACATCTTAATTGCTTCTAAGTTTTGGCAGTTATGAATAAACCTGCTAAAAACTTCTGTGCTCAGGTTTTTGTGTAGATACACATTTTCCACTCCTTAGGGTAAATACCGAGAAGTACAAACACTGGATCCTATGACAAGAGTATGTTAAATTTTGTAAGAAACTGCCAAACTGTGGACTTAGTAAATGCAAGCCTATTCAGATCATCTGTTTCTGTTTGTGTAAGTTTTGGCAGGTGTAGCTTTCAAGGAACTGGTCCATTTCATGTAGGTTATGAAATTTGTGGGCATAAAATTGTTCATAGTATTATTTTATTATTGTTTTAATTTCCTTGGAATCTGTTGTAATGTAGCCTCTTTCATTTCTGGTATGAGTAATTTATGTTCTCTCTTTTTTTCTTAGTTAGCCTGACTAGAGGCTTATCTATGTTATAGATCTTTTCAAGTAAGCTTTAGGTTTTCTTGATTTTCTCTATTGGCTTCTCATTTTTAATTTCACTGATTTTTTGTTCTAATTCTTGTTTCTTTTTTCTGCTTACTTTTGATTTACTTTGTTCTTTTTTTAGTTTCCTAAAGTGGAAACTTACATTACTGATTTTTAGATCTTTTTTATTTTCTAATGTATGTATTGTTTCCCCTGAGCACTGCTTTCACTGCATTCAAAATATTTTGATAAGTTGTGTTCTTTTTTAAAAATTTTTTTAAATTAATTTATTTATTTTAATTGGAGACTAATAACTTTACAATACTGTGGTGGTTTTTGCCATACATTGACATGAATCAGCCATGGGTGTACATGTGTCCCCCATCCTGAACATCCCTCCCACCTCCCTCCCTATCCCATCCCTCTGGGTTGTCCCAGTGCACTGACTTTGAGTCCCCTGTTTTGAGGATCGAACTTGCACTGGCGATCTATTTCACATATGGTAATATACATGTTTCAATGCTCTTCTCTCAGATCATCCTATCCTTACCTTCTCCCAGAGTCCAAAAGTCTGTTCTTTATATTTGTGTCTCTTTTGCTGTCTCACATATAGGGTTGTTGTTACCATCTTTCTAAATTCCATATATATGCATTAATATACTATATTGGTGTTTTTCTTTCTGACTTACTCCACTGTGTATAATAGGCTCCAGTTTCATCCACCTCATTAGAATGGATTCAAATGTATTCTTTTTAATGGCTGAGTAATATTCCATTGTGTATATGTATCACAGCTTTCTTACCTATTCATCTGCCGACAGACATTTAGGTTGCTTCCATGTCCTAGCTATTGTAAACAGTGCTGCAATGAACGTTGGGGTACACATGTCTCTTTTAATTCTGGTTTCCTCCGTGTGTATGCCCAGCAGTGGGATTACTGGTTTCTATGGCAGTTCTATTTTAAGTTTTTTAAGGAATCTCCACATTGTTCTTCATCGTGGCTGTACTGGTTCGCATTCCCACCAACAGTGTAAATGGGTTCCCTTTTCTCCACACCTTTTCCAACATCTATTGTTTGTAGATTTTTTGATAGCAGCCATTCTGACCAGTGTGAGATGGTACGTCATTGTGGTTTTGATTTGCATTTCTCTGATAATGAGTGATGTTGAGCATCTTTTCATGTGTTTTTTAGCCATCTGTATGTTTTCTTTGGAGAAATGTCTGTTTAGTTCTTTGGCCCATTTTTTGATTGGGTCATTTATTTTTCTGGAGTTGAGCTGGAGGAGTTGCTTGTATATTTTTGAGATTAATCCTTTGTCTGTTGCTTC